TTACATCCCACTAAAATAATTTATTAAGGTTAGGTGTCCAGAAATGAATAACAACAAAATTAAGTTCTGCATCCTCAACATTTAGAAATCATTTTCCTAGTACATCATTAGTATTGCAGCTGTCTTAATAAAAAAAAAAAAGAGGTTATTAAAAGTACTTAATCTGTAGCAAGCATTCTAAATAAAAGTCTTTATATTTATTCTAAAGAACAGGCGGATTGGGGCAGCTTGGTGGCACAGTGGATAGAGCACCGGCCCTGAAGTCAGGAGGACCTGAGTTCAAATCTGGCATCAGACCAAACACTTGACACTTACTAGCTGTGTGATCCTGGGCAAGTCACTTAACCCCAATTGCCTTTAAAAAAAAAAAAAAGAAAAACAACAGGTGGATTAAAGTTTTGGGTTTTGTTTTGTTTTTTTCAATCACCAATTAGCGGGAAGAACAATGTACTCTGCAAGAGAACAAGGTACGTGGTACAGTTAACACCATGGTTTAGACCTTACAGCCATTATTACCAGCCCAAAAGAACTCTCTTTAATCACATTCTTGATGCCAGAACTGAAGGAAAAAGAGACAGGAAGAAAAACTATAGAGCTTTAAAGCCATCAAATAGCACTACATTTTGAATAAGGTGTTTGACAAAGTTGTCCATTTAAGATTAAGACAATATTTTATACAAGTTGTTATATGATTCTAAATCATGGTATACTATTTAAAATATTTTGAGGGATCGTTAACGAAATCCAGAAAGCATTTGCAAAGCAAGCAGAAATCTGCAGCTATTATACCTAAAGAAATGATCAATTTCTTCCAATTTACAAAGGAGATTCATAATACAATATAATATAAAATACATAAGTGATGTGTTCAACCTCCCAAAAACACTTTTGGATGGACTATCATACAGTGTCCTAAAATATTCTTAAAAGAAGGGGAAGAGATTTACATCATCAGAGACACATATCAAAAATTTATGTAACTTGTCCAAACTTAACACCGTTAACAAGAGAGCCAAGAATTCACTATATGACTCAAGCTCACACCCCAAGATACTTATTTTTTAAATCATTACTTACATACATACCTAAAATCACACTGAGTAAAGATAACAACGAAAACATTAGCCAAACTTCACGTAAATTCATCAGCACTTCAATAATAGATACACCCCATATTTAGCTGTGAATTTTAAGTGTTGACAGAGTGATATTTACACAAAAGATGTTACTGCACTTAAGAATATTTGTGAAACTTGCAATTTAGTCTAATATGTCATAGTACAAAGGCAAACATTCATGCCATAAGTACACGTCTTATTGCTAATTACATTTTAGGGGTTTCTGTCATTTTAAATCTTAAAACTTAAGGATAGATTTTAAAAATACTTAGAAAAACATAAAATCCCCTTTCTGAAAAGCTGTCCTAGGGAATATCACTTACAATGACACTTCCGAAGTTGTTAAAGCAATTTTCCACTTATATGTGTTTAGTTATTATTACAACTGTCAAGTATACAACATGACCCAGAAGTCTTAGTGCAGGTTTTAAGCTTCAGAACCATAAAAGCTGCACTAAGACTTCTGGGACAGCTTGTATTTTTCTATTTGCCATTATTTTTTATAATTTTTATTTCTGACATAGCATTTTATGTGTGGAAGCACAACAAAACCAGTAACAACATAAATCTTTAGCATTTTCAAAGATATATTATATCTTCTGAACAATAACAATAATCTTTGAGGCAGGGAGATTAGGTACTATCCTTCCCATTTCACATATGAAGAATCTGAGACTCAAATGTCTGACTTAGTGTATGACCAATATAAGTCAGATCCAGAACTAGACCATGGACATAGAAATAGAATCTTGCTCATATTACTGTTCTGTTTCCAGGACTCTCAAAAGTACATTATGCTTCCTTTCCTAATATTATCCACAACCTCAAAACAAATATCTACAATAGTAGATTGGTGACTTAGTTAACATAATGCTACCTGAGTTGTGTGATGTGATGTTTAAGCAATGGACTTTAACTCCTACTTTTCAATGGTCTCTATGAGGTATAAAAGGAAGTCAGTGAGATTTTTCAGGAGTTAATAGCCAAATATTTTTCCTATGTGCTAAAGTTTTACCAAGTGCCTAAACAGGAGGCATCCTATGTACTTAAACTCAACTAGCAGTACTAAACACCTGATGACTGGATTTGGCTTTTCAATAGTGTTAGAGGTGACAATATCTCTAATGCAGTGACACATTTAAGTCAATGTTATGGATGCGAACTTCTATTTTAGGAGGAAAGGTAACACTCAGAACTCAAGTTCCTCAATAGTTGCAACATATTCAAAGGCATGCTGAATTTAAATCATCCTGTCAAACCATAAAGTCCCTCAGAAGCCAGGGACACCAGAAATCGTAAAAGGGACTATTATATCCTAATTAGCACTGATGTCAAAATGGCAGCATGACATAAAATAAAGGTATCAAACACCCAGTGGGGTTGCATGTGGCTGCAAAACTCCTGCTGCCTGAACCAGACTAAAATGTAATTGGGAAATATTTAACAAAATAAATAAATACAACATAGACTATGTTAATCTGTGGTTTTCTAAGTCAATATGTGACTACAGGAATATTTGAGTTTGACATCATTGATACAAAACAGAAGCACGAGTATTGCATTTAACAGAAGACTCAAGTTTAAATCCTGTGTTACTCATTATCTATATGATCTTGAACTCAAACTCAATCTCTCCATCTGTGAAATGAGGAAATATTCCTGTGGTACCTACCCTCAAGGGGCTACTTTGTAGAAGTATTTTGTTAACTATAAAGCAGTGGACAGAGCTCCAGGAACACTCATCTTCCTGTGTCCAATCTCAGACACTTATTAGCTGCGTGAACCTGGGCAAGTCACTTAACCCTTACTGCCTCAGTTCCTTATCTGCAAAATGAGCTGGAGAAGGAAATGGCAAACCACTCAAGTATCTTAACTAAGAAAACCCCAAATGGGGTCACAAAGAGTCGTATCTGACTAAAAAGTGACTAACAACAACAACCACTCAAACTCCAAAAACAGAAAGAGGCATCAAGCAAAGGAAAGGGCAGTCTTAAATACTGCCAATAACTAAATCACCTTTTTTTGGGGGGGGGGCTGAGAGTAGAGGGGGAAGACAATGAATTCTTACACTAAATTCATATACTAAATTCTTCTAAGCAATATTTCTTAATCTTTTGGAGTACATTATTCTATCACCTTTTGTTAGACTTTAAGTACTATAAGATTTGAGATGAAAAATCACTGCTCCTAGGAATCTAGGGCCTCTTAAATAGCTATTTCATTAATCCTCAGCATTTGTTACATATATGCTTAAATTTTTTTAACATACAAATTTTTGCTTAGTAAGTGTTATCTCATTAGGTCTGTTACATTTGTGTTGGCAGAGTAAATGCAGTTCTTGGTTGCAAGTTTACCCTACTGGCCCAAATAATTCAAGTTTTTATACGTATTTGACACCTCATGGAAAAAAATGAAAACATTTTTAAAGGCTTTTCACATTTTATCCATAACATTTGCATGAAAATAAAATTTCTAATTCTTTAAACTTGATTTTTTCCTGCTTATTTCCTACCTGAAGTCAAAATACTGATATCACAATTAGCTGATGTGTAAGGAAGTATCCCTGTGGCTAAGCAGCAGGACTGTGGAGCTCATAAGACTTTTTCATGCAAACACCCTTAGTAATAAAGGAAGAGAAATAAAAGATGTAAACAACAGTTTACAATTAAAATGCTTTCCAAAATTTTCCAAAAGGTGTCACAACCCTGACTTATAAAATACCATTCATGCCAAACCATACATTATACAACTTTATAGTAATAGTACACATGTTTTATTTTAAACAAATATGAATTGTAATATAGGAGAAAGCACATATTTATCATTTATGGTATTTTAAAACAATAAAAAATACTTAATATAAACACATTTTCTGTTTATTAAGCATTTACTTATGTTGCTATATTAGCCTTAACTGTAATCATTAGTTCTAAATTGATGTTTTTATTTTAACTTATTATTTTAATTATGATGTAGCAATAATGCAATTTGTGACAAAAGCAATGAAAAATTAATAGTAAAGATAGCAATTCAAAGCACTAAATTTAATGTAGTTCAGAATCCATAAGCATAACTTTCAACAAATGTATTAAGAGAAAACTAGTACTCACCTCTTTGCCAGGTGTAGGTAAAGATGATACATTCTAAGTTACATGCTATAATCTGTTATTTTCATTTTTTAATTCTGTCAAACTCTGAGAAACCTTTATCTGCCTGGCACATGTACTGAATGGCTAAATATAATATATCAGGTTTTTTCATCTAATACTTTTTCATCTAATACTAAGGGATTCATAACTATTAAGTATTGATCAACTGCTTTGCCCTACTAATTAGGTCTAGGACTAAAGGATAGTTAGATTCTCTTTTTTTTTTTTAAATAATATGACAAAAAGGGAAGATATTTAAAAGGAGAGAAAATTTCAGGAGGAAAACAGCAGTGCAAGTAGTTCAGTATGTAATGGTTGCACATTAAAATTTACAAGTTACTTTACACAACTGTCAAGAAGTGGGAACATTTACTTTCCAAGGCATATTTCTTCACTTATTATGAAAAAATATGCGTAAAAAACAAGTGTTAAGAAAAAATTGGGTATTAAAACAATACTTAAAAGTAGCAATAACAAATGACAGAAAATCCAACAACTCAGCAAGAAAAATGGTTACCTTATTAAAAATATGAATATACCAATATTCTCTTAATAAACTTACTTTCAAAATACTTCTTTGAAAGAAAATGAAATAATGAAAAACAAGCCAAATAAATATTTAAAAGTCTCTATAGTATGAGTAGTTTAAAACTAACTGTGGTTTAAAATACCAAATTATGCATTTCTACATTGAACTAATATAATAGTATGATTTTTTTTCATAACTACATACATAGCCTTTGGGGATATCCGTGTCTTCATTGTTTCCAGGGTCGTTTTCTAAGTGTTGCTTAATTTTTTCTTCTAATCCCACAGCATCTGCTCCTTGATACTGGTCGATTCGCACTTTGTTTCGAAAAAAGAGAAATGTGGGTGTTGCTGATATATTGTTGGTGGCAGCTGTTCCCTAGAATTCACAAGTGAGACAGTGTTATGAATTAAAAGAAATCCTAAAAAATATTCAGTATTCATATTACCTTATTTATAAGTGCAAAAAGCTTAATTAGCAAGAACTAAAAACATGTATACAAAAGATTAGACTTCATTAAATGTCCCTTATCCCAACAGACAATTAGAACTAAATATTACCTGAGATGAAGCTTGTTCCTGGGAGAAGCCAAAGTTACGAGTTTCCCATACCCCATAAATCATTGCTGCTATCTCTCCAAACAAGGTTAAAGGCATACCCATATTTTAGGCACTGGGAAGTACTACATGGCAGGTGGAAAGACGACATGGTACATCAGTACCCAAATGATAGCTAGAGAGCTAGAGAAATTCCCCTAGCACGAAGAATGATTTACACAAGAACGTGGATATATTATCAATCAAAGCTGATATTATTAAAGGGTATAAATTTGTTGCGATGCACACTGTTAGTGACAGCATCCACATCTATAAAATCACAGGTCTATCAAAGTATTGAAGCATGCTCTTTTGACTAGTTGACTAGTCTGACTCTATTGACTAAGTTAACTCTGTAAGGAGAATCTCATTTTATAGCTAAAAATATTAGCCAACTACCTTATGTAGCATACTTTGGTCAAAAAGGGATACTGGAAAATAATCAGTTAAAACTTAGCAATCTATATAGACTAGAAGGAAAAGGGCTAATAACTTACAAAATTTCTAACAGTAGTTGGTATGGACTCTTTGTAGCAAGAAAATCTCATCAACAAATAAATTTTTAAAAAGATAGTCACCTTGAGATTTCATGATATCTGATAGCATACTCAAGTAAGATGAAGATAAGTCATATTATTTGTAAATAAAAATGAAAGGTTTGGGCAACAAAATACTTTAAAAGTTTTATCTGAGAATTAAGCTTATTAAAAATGTTATTTCTAAGACGTGAAATGTTGAGTCAAAAACCTATAGTGACAACAAAAAGTAGACCTGGAATGAGTACTGGACAAATACAAGATTGTTCTTCTTTTCATTCACCAAACCAATATCTAAAAACAAATCAAATTCTCCTATCTAGGCATGTACACAAAACATAAGACCAACATTGGCTTTTTGTACCACCAGAAGCTATAGATCTATACTTCAATTTAAAGACTGAAATTTATTTTTAGGATTAAGGGGTCTAGCTTCTCTTCCAGAAAACCAAAACTCCTCAGTTCAGTATTTTCAGAGAGAATTTCCCCTCAATGTTGTTTCTTATAAATACAAATGCATAAGTCACACAAGCATTTGGGCTTTTCATGTTCGACTGAGCTAATCAGCTACAAATATATAGTGACTCACTGAACAACCAATCTCTTAAGGTCTTTGCTTTACAGATACACAGGAAAGTTATCAGTTCAATCAAAACAATTCTAACAGGAGACTCCTTTGCTATTTCTGCTGATCTAGCCACATATGTTCCTCAGGCTTTGGCAGATAATGTCTTAAGTTTTTTCAAATATCACCACTCTTTTGCATATTATGAGAATAATCACTAACAAGTTTCAAAAACAGCCATCAGAAGAAAAGCTATAAAATTAAAAGGCCAAAACTTGATACTTCTGACCACAGCTTATGAAGATTAACTTTCTTAAATAATGTGGCTATATTTACAGGCTTTGTACTTGACTATGTAATATTAGTATGTACAGTTCTATCCATCTTCAAAAGAATATATGTCATGAAAAAGTAAAGTATGAAGGATAATGAGAATATAGCTGGATAGCAAACTGATTTCCTAGAAAAACTAAAAAGACCCAGACTTCTACTTACCTGGCACTGATGTACATCCACTTCCAAAAAAACTGCCTGTGGATACTTATTGCTTAAAGCATTGAAAGCTGGTGCTATCCGTAAACATGGTCCACAACTGTTTAAAAATAAAGAAAGAAAATATATCTGACAAGAACTTATAATTTTATCTAAAAGCTAAAGTAAGATGAAGTCTTTCATTTACTCAAGTTGTAAAAGATAAAAAGAGACAACATGATGCTATGGACATAGGATTTTAGCTGAAGTCAGAGGACATGCAATATCCTAGCTCTGACAATTATCAGGTAACTGGCTATGAAATTGTTTTCTAACCTTGTTTTCTCATCTGGAAAATACTTGTATCACTTAGCTCACAGGGATGTGATGCTCAAATGAGAGAATGTATGCAAAGCACTTTGCAAACTTCATAGACTATCTTAGTGCCAGACATTATTATCTGCAAGATGGAGGTAATACATACACTTGCACGAGGTACAGTGAAGAAAATATTTTATGACTTCTAAAGTCCATAAAATTTTAAGATATTCTCTACCCATTTTAAATAACATTTTCATTACATCTCCTTGCTATTCCAAGATTCAAACAAAATCTAAACTAAATTTTCAACTTTTGCATGTTAAATTTCTGACTTATATGATGTTAATCCTGAAATGCAACAAAAAATTTGCTGATATCTATATATGACTGGCTAATGTTAACGTTAGCCAGTATTCAATTTGCTAATACTGTACTAAATTTTGAGAAAAGAATGCTGGATAAACTTAAATACATCCCACACATGAAATACTGAATATGGAAGACATTTGGTGATAACAATTCAGTGTAACTTGCAAATTTCTGTTTGCCATTAAAACTTTAACATTAACATGTCCCTTCTAAAGGAGTCAAGTGCAGGCTTGCAGTCAGAAAGACACATCTTCCTGAGTTCAAATCTGGCCTCAGATGCTTACTAGTTGTGTGACCCTAGGCAAGTCATTTAGTTTGCTCAGTTCTGCATCTACAAAATGAGCTAGAGAAGGAAATGGTAAACCACTTCAGTATCTTTGCCAAAGAAAACCCCAAATGGGGTCACAAAGAGTCAGACATGACTGAAATGACTCAACAACAATCTAGCTGAGGTATATTAACTAAGTAATGTTATTATTACCTCATATTTAGACTTTCACCTTGCCACTTCAGCCTTTGAAGCACAATTATAATGGTACATCCATTAAGCTTTCCCTGATCTCCCCAGACAACTCAATTTAACAAACTGATATTAAGTATCCACTATTTATAAGGCACCATACTAGACAATGAGGAAACAAAGAAGAAAAAAATGGCAAAATTCAAGCTCAAATAGCTTACAATCTAGGAAGAGAAACACAACACATGTACAAATGAGTATAATACAAGTAGATATTACAGGAGTAAGGGAGAGATTCTAATACTCTAGGAAAAGCTGATGGAGTGACCCTTTCAGCTGAGGATGGGGCCACCTGGGGTGGGTACAGAAGGAGGGAATCACAAAGCAAGTCTTAATCATAAAGGAAGAGTTACACCCAAGTTGAGCCTCAAAGGAAGAAAAATATTTTAGCTAATGGAGATAAAAGAGGAATACTTTCTAGGCATAAGAAACAGACTGCACAAATACCAAGAAACTAGACACATCAAGGCAAAATTGAGAATAGCTAGTAATCTAGTTCAGGTGAAACTGCTTTAAGAGGAATAAAGTCAGTCTGGAATGGTAGATTATAGCCAAACTGCAGATGGTCTTAAATAACACCTAAAAAGCTTGTATTTAGGGTGGAGTCAAGATGGTGGAGAAATGGCAGTGATTCACCTGAGCTCTCCCTAAAACTCCTCTGAACACCTTTAAATAATGCCATAAAACAATTTCTGAAGCAGCAGAACCCAGAAAAGAACAGGGTGAAATAACTTTTCAGCCGAAGACAACTTAGAAGGTCAGCAGGAAAGGTCTGTCACACCTGGGAAAGAATGGAGCACAGTCCAGCGCAGGCCACCCCAGAAAACCAGGAGCAGTCCTTGCAAGCTATTGAATCAACAGCAGCTGCTTCTGGAGCTCTTAGTCCACAGACATTAATGGGGTTGAACAACCGATCAGAAGGAAATAATAGCGGTCTCTTTGCTGGCACTGGAGGCTGGACTGTTGCTCTACCCATACTCAGATTTGGGTTGCAGTCCTGGGTGGCAGTCCCAGGGCAAGGAAGAGCACTGGCACACCAGAGCTTGTGGCTGCAGTGGAGCAGGGTCTCTCCTCACAGTTCCAGGGCAGAAAACAGTGTTAGTGGTCATTCACAGACCAGAGCACAGGCCAGAAGAGTAGTAAATGCACCTCTCCTTAGATCATTCCACCTTGGAAGAACTGAAAATTTACAGGTTCCTAGAAGTATCTCTGAAAATAGCTGCACAAAACCCCTGAAGCTTGCGATAGTGAGCCCTCCAGCTGGAAGCAGAGCCCCACTTTAACAAAGAGTTAAAGTCAAGAAATAGACTGGAAAAATGAGCAAACAACAAAAAAATTCTGAACATTCAAAGTTACTATGGTGACAAGGAAGATCAAAACACACACTCAGAAGAAGATAACAAAGTCAAAGTTCCAATATCCAAAGCCTTCAAGAAAAATATGAATTGGTCTCAGGCCCAAGAAGAGCTCAAAAAGGATTTTGAAAATCAAGTAAGAGAGGTAGAAGAAAAATTAGGAAGAGAAATAAGAGTAATGCAAGAAATCATGAAAAATGAGTCAACAGCTGAGTAAAGGAGACACAAAAAAATACTAAAGGAAATACCTTAAAAAATAGACTAGGACAAATGGTAAAAGAGGCACGAAAGCCAATGAAGAGAAGAAGTTCTGCTTCAAAAGCAGAACTGGACAAATGGAAAAAGAGGCACAAAAATTCCTGAAGGAAAAAACCTCCTTAAAGAGTAGAATTGGTGAAATGGAAAAGGTCCAAAAGTTCACTGAAAAAAAATAATTCCTTAAAAATTAGAGTTGATGATAAATGGTCAAAGGCTATGAACAGGCAGTTCTCAAGACATTAAAGCCATCTATAGTCACATGAAAAAATGCTCTAATCACTATTGATTAGAAAAATGCAAATCAAAACACACATGACAAAACAGGAAAATGATAAATGCTGGAGAAGATGTGAGAAAATTGGAACACTAATGCATAGTTGGTGGAGTTATGAAACAATCCAACCATTTTGGAGAGCAATTTGGAACTATGCCCCAAGGGCTATAAAAATGGGCATACCCTTTGACCCAGCAATAGCACTTCTTAGGGCTATATCCCAGAGAGATCATACAAATGGGAAAAAGACCTACATGTACAAAAATATTTATAGCAGCTCTTTTTGTGGTGGCAAAGAATTGGAAATTGAGAGGATGCCCATCAATTGGGGAATGGCTGAACAAGTTGTGGTACATGAATGTAATGGAATACTATTGTGCTATAAGAAATGATGAACAAGTTGACTTCAGAAAAACCTGGAAAGACATGAGTGAAATGAGCAGGACCAGGAGAGTATTGCACATAGTAACAGCCACATTTGTGCAATGACTAATATTGACAGACTTAACCCTTCTCAGCAATACAAGGTTAGATCCTTTTCCAAAGGCCTCATGATGGAAAATGCTCTCCACATCCAAAGAAAGAACTATAAAGTTCGAATGCAGATCGAAGTATATTATTTGCTATTTTTTTTTCTTCCATAGTGTTTTGTTTCCTTTTTCTGGTGGTTCCTCCTATTGGTTCTAATTCTTACCTACAACATCGATAATGTGAAAATATGTGTAACAGGAATATATATGTATAGCCTATATCTTGGAGAGGGAGGTTGGGAGGGAGGGGGAGAAAAATTTAAAAGTCAAAAGTTTATGGAAGTGATTGTTGATAATTCAAAATAATTAAAAATTTTAAAAAATTAGAATTGAGCTGGAAGCTAATGACTTTATAAGAAACCAAGAAACAATAAAACAAAACCAAAAGAATAAAAAAATAGAAGACAATATGAAATATCTCACTAGAAAAACAGCTGACCTGGAAAATAGATCCAGGAGAGATAATTTAAAAATTATTGGACTACCTAAAAGCCATGATCAAAAAAAGAGCCTAGATATCATCTTTCAAGAAGTTATCAAGGAAAACTGCCCTGGTATTCTAGAACCAGAGGGTAAAATAGAAATTGAAAGAATCCACCGATTACCTATTGAAAGGGATCCCAAAATGAAAACTCCCAATAATATTATAACCAAATTCCAGAGCTCCCAGGTCAAGGATAAAATACTGCAAGCAGCCAGAAACAATTCAAGTTATTATGGAGCCACAGTCAGGATAACAGATTTAGCGGCTTCTACATTAAAGCATCAGAGGGCTTGGAATAGATTCCAGAGGGCAAAGGAGTAAGGATTACAACCAAGAATCACCTACCCAGCAAAACTGAGGATAATCTTTCAGGTGAAAAAATGGACATTCATATAGGTAAAGACTATTTCAGATTGCATGCCGTCTTGGGGAGGAAGATGGGGAGGGAGAGGTAGAAAATTTAAAACTCAAAATCTTACGGAAATGAATGTTGAAAAATAAAAATAAATTAATAAAAAAAAGAAAAAATAGACATTCAATGAAATGGAGGACTTTTAAGCATTCTTGATGAAAAACCAGAGCTGAATAGAAAATTTGACCTTCAAACACAAGACTCAAGAAGCATACAAAGGTAAACGGGAAAAGGAAATCATAAGGGACTTAATAAGGTTAAACTGTTTACATTTCTACATAGGAAGATGATACTTGTAACTTATAAAAAACTTTCTAGTTATTAGGGCAGTTAGTAGAGTATATATAGAGAGGGCACAGCTGTGAGTTGAATATGAAGAGATGATATCTAAAAAGAAAAAATTAAGGGTTGAGAAAGAGGAATGCACTAGGAGAAAGGTAAAAGGAGGGGAAGAATGGGATAAACTATCTCACATAAAAGAGGCAAGAAAAAGGTTTTAACAGTGTAGAGGAAGAGGGGGGAGGTAAGAGGGAATGAGTGAACCTTACTCTCATCAGAACTGGCTCGAAGAGAGAATAACATACACACTCAATTGGGT